TCCCTACTAAGAGACTGATGCCAAAAGGCTCATATGGTGTAAATTAGGCCAGATTTACCAGAGTCAGTGAAGTTTGTGGATTTGTTGGTTTTGGTTGTGTTGTTTGGTGTGTTTGTTTTTTTTTTTTTAGCGTGGCTTAGTGTCTTATTTATGGTTGCTAGGCAAGATTTTTTCAATGGTAGTGATACTATCAAATTTGGAGGCATAGGGACAATATTGGTAGAAAATGCAGGACCTTTCAGTAATTGGATAGAGGAATCCTGATTTCATTTTTTTTTAAGCAAAGCTGAAGTTTAACACAGAAAGAGGGGAAAGATTCCTTCATTGTCACTGCTCTCTTTTAGCAGCTGCCTTGGTTTTTTGATAACACTCAAGATTATCAAAAAATGAATCCAAGTATCTTGAAGTGATTAAAGCCTCATGCTGGTTCTTGTTTTCAGAGCTCTTTAGAAACCTTCTGAGCCTGGTTTTGCTGTAAGATGCTGTGACTCTTCCCTTGATTTGACTTGTCCATGGTGAGAAATAGTTAAGGAGCTTGTAGTTTCTTGGGATTTGCATTTGAGTTTCCTTAGGGCAGACGATTTCCTGATATGGGGAAGATGTGACTCACCTCCTGGAGAGAACTGAAGCCCTGGGATACTGCTCCCTGGGGACCCTGAAGAGGAGGGATGGGCTCTTGGGCTGGGAGTCTGCAGGTAAGTGAGACATTTCAAAGCAATTCATTGCTCTTGCTGTGTTAAATTGTGCTGCTGGAGAATACACAGTTGTGTGGAGGAATATTTCCTGACTCACTTAGAATTTCATGAGCAACGAGCCCATTCAGGATTGCTTGTTTATCTTGTCTAGGAACCAAGACAGAGCTCTGCTGCATATTTAATTAGATGGGGGAAGGCAAAGAATTTTAAGATAATCTTATCGTCTGCTCCTCATCACAGTGTCATATAAAAAGTTTGCATGGCATGCAAAGTAGAGCCTGATGGTAAACTATTTGGTTTTGAGGACACTGTACACGAAAACAGCTTTACAGAGTAATACTTTTTTCAGTGGAATACTCCTATGAATTCTTTTGTGTATATGACTAAAAAAAATGCATTGTGCAATCGTATGAAAATTAACCAGGAGATGTAAAGAGATGTGTGGGAACCTGGGGCTTCTGGAGGAATAAACTCTTTCAATCCTGTGGCTGTTGAAAGCAGAAAAAGAAGAACAGGTGAAGAGAACCTGAGTTCAAGTTTCTCACTGCTGCAATGGACCGACAATAATCAGAATCTAGGTACTGGGAAAGACAGTATAAAGTCAGTCAGAAATCAAAGAGGAATGGATTTTTACAAAGAGCGATGGCTTTTATATTGTGGCCTTTCAGTTCCAGTTCTGCAAAGGTTTTTGTGTACGTTTAGGGAGGGGAGGATGACTGACTGCTAGTCCTTGCTGCGGAGTCAGCTGCAAGAGCAGAGTCCAAGGTGGCAGAAGGCGTGTGAAGATGATGCAGAACCAGGATGGAGTCCTGTGAGGTTTTGTGTTTAGTTTTCCATCTTCAGTGTTGGCATCAGTGTACAGCAAGTGTTACAACTACATATCACTCTTGCACAGAAAACAGAAATGTCAAGAGTCTGCACCACCACCACAGCTGTGAACTATCCTCTGCTCTCCCTGAGCTAGCCTGCTACTTTGTAACTCAAAAACCTTCTGATCTGTGCTCTCCCCTTGCAGCGAGGGTCAGAGGAAGCCTGGGGGATGTCTGTACAGCTAATCAGCGTGTGAGTTGTTATCTGTACTGTCCAGGGCTTGCTGAGGAGCTGGGGTCCAGCTCTCCTCCTGGCAGAAGAATGTGGGAGGAGGATAAGATGGTGCTTTAAGTCTAGTTCTGCTAATTCTGCATCTCTGAACAAGTTGTTACTGCTATACAATAAACTCCTCATCTGTGAGCTTAATGGTTATGAAATAATGGTTATATTCTGCTAATGAGTCACTGATGGGTATCAACCGATGGCTTGGTGAGGGGAGTGAATGCATGAGCCTCACAGGGATGTTTTGAAATCTGGACAGGGAGGGATGTGCATGTGCATGATGCATGGGCTAGTCACAAAACATCTCTAAGGAGGACTAAGGCTATCAGGCTGCACACAAGGCTACCCTGGGCCAACAGCATTTTGCATCTCTCTGCTGTTCAGGAAGGGATTCAAGATGGTCTGGGCCAGAGAGAGATCCACAGTGTACAAGGAAAAGCTTGGTTTCCTGATGCAGTGATGTATATAGCTTTTTATTAGCTTTCATGCACTGCAGTAAAACTCACCCCAGCATTAAGCATTCATGATGCCAGAGAAATGAGTAAAATTCAGGAATAAGTAACTGCCTTTGTGGTTTCATGAGGACCTCTGTGTCTTTGCACTTCCAAATGCTGGTATAATAAATCCTGAAGTGCTTTTTTGCTCACAGCAGATGTGATTAATACAGCTGTTAGCTGATGTGTCTTCTAGAGGAAACAATTGGCCACCCCTAGGTGGATAAGCACTGGAGGCCTGAAAACCCTGCGATTTTCTCTGCATTTGAGAAACTAAGACATAAAATGCTCTTTTTTTTCCCTCCTCAAATCCATAATCAGATAAAATGTAAAGACAGTCACTTCTGCAATAGGCATTTTGGAGAGTGCCTGTTAAAGTGAAAAGGCTCTGCACAGCCGGAGCCCCTGTGGGGTTGGGCAGCTCCAAGTGCGACGTGAGCACTGCGGCAGCACGTCCCATCTGCTGCCCACCCAGCTTGGGGAAAGAGGGATGTCCAGGTGTACAATGCCTCTTTTCCACTTAGCAGCCCTTCTGCAAGGTGAGAAGGGGGCCTGTGGTGATGCTTAGGGGTGCTGAGCCCTGTAAACTTCATGCTATAAATACACCTTTCCTCCTCTTCACACCCGTCCTTATCCCTCCCAGGGAAATCCTGAGCAGGGCACAAATATCCTCAGTCACTTCACCAGGTTTCCCTTCTGCTTTTGCCAACGTAATCACATCCACTGATTTCTGCTTGTTTGCAGGTCTCGTCTGCAGCTGGAAGCTCAAACCACCATTTATTTTCTGTATGGGTTCCTAATCTGAAAATGGATCTAATTTGCTTTACCAAATTACAAGCAAATCAAGCTAAACACATTGTGTTATATCTGGATGCATTGTGGAGCTTTCATGAAAGAGGAAAAACTGCGTTTGTCATTGCTGTGAGTTTCTTCTTTCCTCAGTATCAATAACTTTGTGTTCTCAAAAATTATAAAATGTCTCTATAAATGGTAGAGTTTTTTCCTTGGGGCCAGGATCCGGGTAGCTGGAGCTGCATCTGTCTCACATCTTTCATCCTCTCAGCCCTTAAAGCCCTTGCCAACATCCTGCGCTCTATTCCCTTGCAGTTCCTCCCCTTGCTCTTAGACGCAATTTGATTATCTGCAATATTGCATTTGATTGTATTACTAAATAGTTCTGAAAATTTTCCTTTCGGCAAACACTTCTTCCCTTTCAAATGGATTTTTTTCTCCACCTGTAAATCAGTTTTAGAGCCTTGTATGTCTAAGGACAGTAAATACCCCACTGCTCCAAATGAGACAAGTATTTTGCATTTCCATTTCCTGGCCCATCAGGGAGAATTTTGTGCAAAATGCAGGAGAAATGTCAAAGTGATAAAATAGCATTGTTTTTGTTCATTGTCTGGTTAGAACAGCTGATGTTATGGAAAACATCCAGCTCTATGCAGACTTCGTAGAGATCAAATTCAAACAGGACAAATACTCTATAGGTACTGCTATGTTTCAATGAAAATTTTACTGACTGAAAAATACTACTTCACCTGAGGTTTTTGACATCATTTCTTAGTTTATTGATTTAAACCTGAAACATACCTGAAATATATTTCTTTGCCAGGAAAGTTTGCAGTCTGGATGTGGCTTTAGTTTCCTTCTGCCAAACCACATTCCTTCTGGGATAGGGGGAACTCTGCTCCTCTTCAAAAACTCTGTTAAAACAACGGATTCACAAGATTATTTTTTAACTGAGAACAATTAAGAACCCTAACAGCTTAACTGGCTGTGATAATTAGTGGTCACTAAGCTTCTTTTTGGGGAAATACAGCATGCTGTCCTATTTCAGTCCTGTCATAGTAAGGACTGAGAAAATGATGTAAATACCCATTGCTCTCCTGAGCAGCTCCTTAGGATGGAGAGCCTGGGGCAGAGCTTGGGCTGGGTATGAGCTGCTGCAGCGGTGATCTCTGCCCGCTTAGCTTGGAAGATGTGTCATTTTGGTAAACACAGGCGATATATTTAACTAGTCATCGTGACGCAAGCAAAAACTGTTGGCAGCCGGGGCGGAAATGCATGCTACTCCCTTCTTACAGGAAGAGGTAGTTTTACATTAATAACTCCTAGAAGCATCCTTCTGGGCTCCTGCTGGTCCCCCTGTGTGGTCCCAGGCCGGTGGGGAGGTGGTGGCCCAGTGCCAGCCAGGACGGGATGCTGGGGAGACTGCTGGGGCGCAGCCCCGGGCTGTGGCGGTACGTGGCTCGGCCAGTCCTGCACCCAGCCAGAGCCGTCGGCGACAAAGCAAAGGGTGCTCAGAACGCGGCTTTACAGACAGCTAATCCAGGTGGGTAGAAAGGCTTTGGTCACTGTTTCATGCCACAGCATGGAGGATACTTGCAGTAAAGGATGAGAAAATGACCCTTGTTCTCGTCTGTGGCTGTGTTACTGTGGTGCTGCATCTCCTGGGGTTACAAATGCTCCTGAGACATGGAGCGAATTGAGAGCTCTCACTAGCAGAGTGCATAGGGATGAAGTTTTTTTCTGTTAAGTAGTCCTCCTCCTACGGTAGCAGATACAAGCTGAGACTTCATGTTAGGGAACTTGTTAATTAAAAAAAAAAAAAGAAATGTTCCTCCTCCTACCCAGCTGCCAGGTTTCCAGGGGAGGACCGGTGCACGTCCTGACATGTGCAGGGCTGGTGCAAGTGGCCGACTTGCACCCCTCTGCTCCTCTTCCCAATGCTCCCTGCCAGACTACATCCACAACTCTGTGTGCTTCTGGCAGGCAATGCCCTGGCTTACCTGGCAGGCAGCAGATGTGGGCTGCTCCTACGTGGGCAAGCTCCCTGGCATGGAGATAGTTTCTCTTTTTAACTTGTACCACTATCTCCTTGGCTGTACCTTTGCAGACTCCTCACTCTAGTGAGACTGGGCAGCATGGGGCTGCCTGTGCTCCTGTGGGATGGCTGTGGATCTCCAGCATGGGGTTTTGCCCTTGTGTTCCCTGGGATAGTGCCAGTCCTTTTAGCAATACGTCTTACTTCTTGCTGCAGATCTGATTCAGACACTTGCTGATAATTTCAGATGTAGCTCTCCTAGTCTCACTGGCACTCTGTAAGAGGAGATTAAATTTACCTGGAGGTCTGGGTGCCCCGATTTACCCCTGGGATTTTTCAGCCATCCACAAGTCCTGACATGTATGAGCAGGCCTGGGGCCAAGGCACTTAGTGTAATTTCACCCTCTCGACACAGGCAGGAAGAGATGCTCCCTGTGCCCTCTTCTGTAGTGGCAGTGATTTCCTTTCAGCCAAGAACCAGCAAGCCAGCAACAGCCAGGGAGTGCAGGACACCGAGATTAGGGACATCTGCATGTCCATCCCTTCCCGCATGCCCTGATCACCCACAGGGCATTTCTAAACACCAGTCCCACATTTGCAAGCACAAGGCACCATAACCTAGCATCTTGGGTGCACCTACATGGGTCTGTGAGCAGTCCCAGCTACCTTGCAATGACCACCTCTACAGGTGTGCAATGCAAAAGCCAGGATTTGAGCTAGCCATTGCTTACTCTATTTTTGCATGGTCTCCCTGCCACTGCCCTCATCGTTGCCTGTCATTTGACTTGTTTCCATCAAGAGGAGCCAGAGTCCCTTTCTCATTGTGCTCAGGGTGACAGCATGCTAATGGCATCACTGTGGTAGTCTAGTGGGGTGTAATGTATCATCATTAGAGTACAGTAATGTGGTACCCAGCTTGCATGAGAACAACTGCCAGCCTCCCACCAGGCTGTATTTTAACAGACCTCATCTCTCCATCAGTGCTTTTAGAAGGAGATGCTATTCAGGAGTTATTAGTGCTGCTGGCAGTTTGTTTAACTCACTAGTTGGGCCGTTTAAAAGCAAGATGCTAGCAGGGTGAGAGCATGCTGTGGGTTTGGGTAACTTCAGCCCTGCATCCTTTCCCTCCTTAATCAGGAAAGTTAGAAGAGATTTTTAGTTTAAAACTTACCTAAACTAAAGGAAAAAACAATTAAGCAAGATGAAATAAGCTGCAAATGTAACAAATAATCTCACACCAGCTGCTGAGTCCTTTAGACATTAGAAAACACATTTGGCTCTCACAGAATAGAAAAGTGCCGTTCTGAACTTTCAGTCCTTTTCCCCCTATAACGACAGCTTTGTTCCTCTTCCCTTAGTTAAGCTTGGCTCATTGTTTTCTTTTATATAATCTCTTACAGGTTACAAAACTTTCAGAAAAGACAGAAGACCTACAAATTTTGATAAAAAAGTGTTAGTATGGGCAGGGCGCTTTAAAAAGGAGGATGACATTCCCAAGCATGTATCGTAAGTAGACTTGTCTGAACAGTGCTTTTGGATGTGAACTTACAGATTGAGACCCCAGTCTGCGTTACTCAGAATTGTGCTCACCTGGTGAGGGTTAGTGCCCCTCCATGCTGAGTAGCCTGCTGCTACTGGTGTCTGAAAATAATCTGACTTTTTGGGAACGTGAACTTTTTGTCATGCCCTGTGAAATAACCTGGATTCACTTGTTTTAGATATCATAAGTTTCAGACTAAGCTGAAGTCTTTTGCAAGACAAGTGGCTTTGTAAGTCAGAAGTCACCATGGTAAAATATCATCCACTTTGGATTTTTGCATGTTTTGTGAGTTTTCATTGATTAACAATTAATAATGCTGCATAAATTTTAAAAATAAGTTGGGGTTATACACAGCTTTGGTGATAGATATCTGCAATGAGTTCCTCACATCTCAGCTGCGGTTTCACCTCCTCATCAAGGTATTTTGTTAACAGATTGTCATTCAGTTTTGGAGACCTAATGCTTCCTGACTTGTGACATCCTGGGGGCTCCTCCAGCTGGCCTTCCCCTTGCAGGTGTAAATAAATCCGTGGCTGGATACAATTTCATGAATGACTCATTGCCACACTGCAGCCTCTTGCAAGCGCGAATTGTTGGAGAAATGCCGTGAGTCACTCACGGAAGGTGGTGGAGATTTCCCAGCGACGGCTGTGGCTGTTCAGCTGCTTGGGAGGACAACTCCGCATGGATGGTGCGGTCGTCTGCTCCAACCCAGCTCAGCCTCGAGCCGCAGGCAGATACGCGTGGGGCTGGTGCCAGTTTGCGTAGCCTGGCAGAGGGCTACACTGCAGCGGGACAGGGCTGCAAAGCACCGCGGGCAGCTGGGGTGGGAATGTGACCTCAGACCCACTCACTACTTGCTGTGCCTCTGCTGCGTGAAAACTCTCCGTTGCTTTTAGCCAAAATGTCATGCATGTGCTTTTATTCCACTGAGAGTGGCATTGCCTGGCCCTGGTGGCACGGCCCCAGTGTCTCCTGGTGCTGTGCAGCACTCCATGCCCTGCCCTGCAGCACCCAAAGGTGGACCTTTCATAATTCCATTATTATGATGGAAAGACTTTCCTGTCCTCGTCATTTTTCAGGTATTCACTCTCATATGTAATAAAAGAAGGTAGGAAAGCAGGATTTGTTATTCCTGTTGTTACTGATGACTGTTGGGAATAGCAATACCCCACTCGTGTAGAAGGGTGGCTAAATCTTTGCCTCAATAGGCTAATTTTTTGAGTTCTCCTCTAAGCACTTGCAGAAAGAGAAGGCTGAAACACACTGTACGTTAACAGGCAGTTGCTGGAAGACTTGAGGATTCATTACCCAGCTCCCCATGTTCTCATTTCACACATGCTGCTGCAGGATGGAAACTCTGCTCTGTCCTCCGCAGGTCTGAGGTCCTCGACGCAGCAAGGAATGCAGTCAGGATAAAGGCTTGCTACATTATGATTGTATTGACCTTGCTGGGCTGTTTGGCCATGGTAATCACGGGCAAAGAAGTGAGTATGGTTTCTGGGTGAACTGATCCACTTAATATATGGTCTATGTATGCTGTCTTTGTAAATAAGTGTCCTGGTGACAGATAGGTTTGAGAATAAGTCCACATAAGCAGTATTTGCACAAGATCTGTATCACTCCATTCTCTGGAGGAGAAATTGGCAGGGGGAAGCACAACTTGCTGGTTAATGTGTTCCTTCTGACCCACTTTGCCATAAACCCATGCGGTGCAATGCTCTGTTCCATGGTATCTCAGCAAGAGGCTGGTCCAAAGGTTGTGGAGTAGCTCAGACAATGTCAATGGCACCTGATTCTGCCCTGCATCCATGGGTCATGAGGGTCCTGCGGTCTTGCCCACCTAGCCTGCATGCCACCAAGAGCTGTGACACTCACTTCTTTCCACCCCACTGGTGGGGAAGGAGGGTCTCCAGCCTGACTTGCATGTCCTAGCGCAGCTGTAAACAATTTACAGTGTAATTTTCCTGCTAATCAGAGCTGCAAATGCACAAAATTTGGTAAAACAAGGAAACACATTAATTTCTGTCACTGAAAAATATCAAAAAAGACAGTGGGGTGTCAAAGCAAGTGGTGCAAATGTGGGGAAATCCAGTGGTGGGAAATGTGTGCATGTAATGATTTGCACCATTTCTTTTCAAGGCTGCTAAAAGGGATCACACGCTGCTGAGGATGAACACAGAAAAGAAGGCCAAATGGAGAGCTGAAGTGGAGAAAGATCAGGAGGCAGCTGTTGGGAAGCCATAATGATTTGGAACAGATTTATTTTAACAGCAGGAGATAAGGGATTTGCACACATGGCATATGTACCTGTCTTCATTTAACTCTTCAGAGCTTTTTCACTGAAACTCTCTCAGGGCAAAGACTCCACTGCTTAAAAACTGCTCCGTACGATCTGGGTAACTCCTATGGAAACTCCAACAGCTGCTTTCTGTGGCCTCTGGTCTTTGGTACTGGGTTCAGCTGAAATGCGGAAATCTCTTCTAAACCGGCAAGTGTGGGAAGGACGAATGCAGGACTCACCAGCTCAGGATCAGCTTTTCATGATGCTGCTGATGCTCAGCGTGGCCGTGAGGCTGTCTCCTTGCAGCCATCAGAGAGCATCTCATTCTGTGCAACGATTCTAGGGCAAACAGTCTTGGCCGAAGTGACCCTAAGGCAGGGCAAAAGGAATCTGAAATATGTTTTGCAACCACAAAAAGGTCAATTATCTCTACCTGTGAGCCTGCTGCCATCGCTGTCCCCTCTCCCTCCCCAGCCCCTCGTGAGATCCCATGGCCGGGGGAGAGGGGGACATGAGCATGAAGAGAGGTTGGGAAGACGGAAGAACGTGAGAAGACCCCGATGACCAATTTGGGCCAAAAGGGACTTTGGGCCAGAGGAGATGGCAGTGATGTGGGGTGGTAGCGTGGGCACATGGAGTGGCTTGGTTGCTGCGGGGCAGCCCGGGGAACCCGTGCCTGGTGCATGGAGCCTGGCCTGGAGGCACCTCTTGTCCTGTTGCAACTCACTGGTTTTGCTTTTTCATCTTCTGCTTCCAGTCATTGTCATGCAAGTTGACTAGCATTTGCTTAGTTGTGATTTTAGTCAGGAGTAATTGTTAATACAGGGTTTGCTAAAAGTGGATTCTTTTTAATCATCATAGTTCATTAACTCATAATAAAACAGCTGTCCAATTACATCTAAAACAAACACATCTCTTCACAGCTTCATTTAAAGTGTCACCAAACTCTCTGGGATGATGTTTAACAGATGGGAGAGATCCTAATGAAATATTAAAAGTTACATTTTCATGAAGTGATTAAACTTCAAGACAGACCCCAGTTCATGCGTGTGGGTGCTGATGGTCTGAGCCCCTGTGTATCATTCATAAGCCCTCAAGACCTGTAAAACAGGCTGGTGGAGCTGGGTGCGCTGCATGGGGTGCCGAAGGACATGGAGTGACAAAACCCAACCATCTTACCCCAGCTGCCATAGGAGATGGCAAATGCTATAACCATACTCAGCCTTCCTGCAGTGTCCTGAGCATCACACCAAGCCTTGGCCTTTGCAAGGTTTATTACTCAGAGCAGTAGCAGTTGTCGTCCAGGGGAGTCTGGAAACTCCTGCTCAGGTCTCTGAGGTTTATTGTGTCAAAAACCATGTCCACTTACTGCTGAATTGTCACTACATGAGCAAGCTGCTGGCAGGGTTGGGCTGGGACATTGGCAGGCAGTCAGCGGTTGTTGAGCTCTGGGACTCCACCTCCTATGCCTGTGGTCGTTGGGCAGCTTTTTCCCTCTGATGCTTCTCTGGAACACCGTTCTCCATGTTGCACACCCATTTAGGATGAGGAGTGTATGCAAGGGGGAAGTTACATCTGTCACAGCTTGGTGTCTGCAGTCCTTGTTTCCAACTCACAGCCCCGCGCAGTACAATTCGCCAGAAGTGATGTCTGCTCCCTGTAGTATTCCTCATGAAGCACATCTCAGGAAAGTGGAAATAATGGTCTAGGACAAGCACAGAGTGAACAAATCTCTGCTGAGAAGGCACTTTTGTCTGCACAGGTAATATGGGCGCTTTCATTTTACATGACCTGGTTTTCTTGGCCAGTGCAACAAACCTCAAGAATTACCTGAAAGTTAGTGTTCATTTGGGGGTAAACTAAAACAGCTCTGGCCAGTCTCTTAGGTTATATTTTTTTAAAATGGCTTTCACATGCCACTTTTAAGAAGGCACACATAACACTTAAAGGAACCCATTTTGATGCTTGTAAACAAATCCACATCCATATTTTGAGCTTCCTTTTTTTTGAAAGAAGATGACCATAACCATATATAAAGAACAAGCAAATTAATTGTGACTTGTTCCACTCTGCTCTGCAGTTCCCTCTGCCTGGCAAAAGAAAAAAACTGCTTCAGGTGTGAGCTATTATCAAATCCTATTAAAGAGCCTGGGTCTCTGTTGACTAGTGCATAAAGCTGCTGCATTATACATAGTCATTAAGAAAAAGGAAAAAAAATCAATTCCTCCTCCCTGAGCCACTGATGATGGGCCACTTCTGAGTGATCAGATGACCCAAGTGCTTTTGGGCTCTCATAAAGAGCTATGACTATTATGTAGGGAATAATCCTTTACCAGTCCCAGCTACATGATCATTCATTTTAGTATTACAATATTCCCTAAAAAATCAATGGGATGAATTGTTGGCTTGCACTCAGTCGGTGATGGGTGGCTGCTGGCACCAGTGTAGCACAGCTTTGGCTGGAGCCATCCCCTATAGTAACTGGAGATGCCAGCAAAGGACACTGCACTGCTGATGCTTCTCCAACACTGGGACTTACCACTGCTTGTTAAAATCAGTTTCTATCTATGTTTGCAAAGTCCTTTGACTCTTCTCGTGAAAAGCTTCTAATTAACACAGCTTCCTGAATGTATAATTGGCTAATCCTCACCACCTTACAGTTGTGGTGGTTTTTTTTTAATTCCCCCTCCCATCTATATTGCTTCAGTGTCACACCCGATCCCTCAGTCATTTAAAAAAGGAGTGGGAGTTGTTATTAGGTAGGAGCTATTCTTCCTTTTTTAGTAATGTGCCCTGTCTTTCCCCAGCTAGGCCCCAGAACAACATGAGGGGCTGGCTTCTTTCTGAGGCAGGGGATGGAGCTGGGAGTGTGCCTGTTTGCTGTGACGCTTGAGGAGACCAAAGGTGATTCCTTTCAACTTTCCTCTCCTCATTTACTGCTCTGTACCAGGAGGAAAGAATGCTTCATCGCTTGCAGGATTTTTGCCATTTCAATTAACTCCTATGTGGAAATGGTTAACAATGTGCTGGTGGCAGGTGCCATAGAGATTTGCATTATAACAATAATTATTGGGGAAGATTTCTCCTAGTAGCTGGAGTTGATCTAATTCTTCTTCCTTTAAAAATCAGTGCTGTGGTTCCTCCTGGCTGTGAATTAAGATCATCATCCACCATTTTTTGAAGTTTCAGTGATTTCCAGATACTCAGTTTCCTCAGGGAGCCAGGCTGCTGTGGGGCAGAGCTGGGTGCACGGAGCTTTCTTCTGCCAATGTGGTGAGATCAAGCTCATAAAGGAGGCTCTGCATTGTAAGCACCCCAGTGCCTCAGAGAAAAGGTGTGAGATGGAAAAGCCTGAGATCAGGAGATCTCAGTCCCTTCCTTACTTACTTTATTTCCCTTTTTGACCTGCTCAGGGGGTTTCTAGTGACACTTGATTTCTTTCCATCCGTCTGCTGTGTGCAGCTCTTCTCCTGGCATGCAGCAAGGCTGATGTGATCCTACACTTGCAAATGACAGTTTCCCTGGATGCAGATGAAATCTTGCCATTCAGAAAGATCTCATTTTAAAGACTTCCCTGTTCTTTCAGTGTTTAGTCTCCCACCAAGCTGGGAAGCTCTTGCTTATTTTAAGGCTGAAAGCACCCAGCTTCAGCTTCCAGGCATTGGACCTTGTCTTCAATATGGAATATAAAACATCCCATCTCAACTCTTTCCTGTGTGTAACTAGTAGCCCCTCAGTTACTGTTTGCAGTTGGATTCCTGCTATGTTCAGAACACCTGTATTTTCTAACCATTGCTTGGTGGGTATCACTAGCTTACTGGCCAGTTAAGTGATTGACACTACAGTGAATTTATTCCTGTATCAAGCAATTTACTACGTTAGTAGCCTCTTCATAACAATCCAAATTATTTGTTTGTTTGTTTTAGCATAGAATCAATAATCTAATACTTTTGCAGAAAGAAAGTATGTAAAATCTTTCCACACTTTACTGACTACCCTGGAAAACTAAAAAGCACAGTGGTTATGCATCAGTAACTTGTTTTCTGTCTGTACCCACGGCATCGGCACCTGCAGGAGCAGCATGGCCAGCCAGTGTTTGCAAATCTGCTTTTGTTCCTGGGCCTGCCAAGGGTCAGTTCAAATGAACTTCAAGGTTAAAGGTCTCCTCTGGGTGAGATGCAGTGATAGTTTGGTTCTGTAGAGACCTGCTCCTTCTTACCACAGAGATCTTTCCACCTTGGAGCAGCCTCATGCTTTTTCCTTTCCTCAGCATCACTGCAGCAAGTAAGCACTGGCTGCTGCTGGCCCACAGGCATCTGGGGTCCTCATGCCTATCATGATTTCAGAGATAGCTTAAACACCATTCTCCTGTTTGAATTTGGCATGAAGTCATTCTAGCCTAGCAGGAAAGCAAGGCCAATGTTCAGTAATTTGAATTAATTAATGGATCATTCATTAATACATTGAGGTAGCATTAAAGTAATCTTCCATGGTTAAGTAATTTGATGATAATTAGTGCTGTACAGTTTATTGCAAAACTTCTGTGACGGTCATATGATGAGTAGGTAGCTCCTGAAGGGCTCTGAAAGGACCTGACCATTTCATTTCTTTGCTCTTTGAAGGATCTGGAGGCAAATCTCAACACTACGTTAGTCTGGCTGGCTCTACACCTTGTCTATGCATGAGATGGCTTTCTACGTGGAAGTCTAAAGCTGGGATTTGACTCTTTCTCTGCAGCACTGTGTTCCTCAGTGAAGGGACCCAAACCTTGAGCTATTTGGGCAGGAACTGCTGTTTGCTGGATGTATGAGGGCTTGCCATAGGGAGGAGGTCAGTCTGGAATAGAATTTCGTAGGAAAGAGTTGGGCTCGCTCATGGCTTATGTATGTCCTGCAGCATGAGCAGAGTTATCAGAAACAGCCAGTGAGACTAGAACAGAAAATTGAGGGATTTGTATGCTGGT